GCTTTATTTTAAAAACTGAAAAATCTGGAAGAACCTGAAGTCTTCCATTTTTTCTTCCTAAAGCCCTTGATATTAGGGGAATTGAATAAAGTATAATATACAAATGTTTACCCATAAAGTACATTTCACATGTTATTTGAATCTTCAAAAAGCCTGTAAAGATGATTTTCAACACCATTTTACAGAGGAACAAACTGAGGTCACTTGTCATTCTGAAAATAAAATGGAATCATCCTCCCTGTTCAGCTTTGGTCAAATCTGAATATTTTCTTTTTTTTGTTGTCTCACTGTCATGCACAAAAACAATTTTTTAATTTATTTTTTAATTGGCAGGAAATTGTTTTACAGTGTCATGTTGCATTTTCTTTAGTGGAAGATTTGCACAATTCTGAAGTTTACTTCTGATCTGCAGTCAAGGAAGCAACCCTTATCCAAAAGCCTGAAACTTGACCATCTTCACAACTGGCTTAAAACTCACACGGCCATTGAAAAAAGCTAGTGTACAATCACACTATTCTCAGGGTTGTTCATACAAATGGAGAACTGGAAAGGTTCTTAAAAGTCCTTTCTTCCCATCTCTCAAATGGTATTAGAAGCCCTTCTAAAACATCTATTTTTTAAAGTTCCAACTGTTAGAACCAGCCCATGTCTAGACTTTCCATCCTCCTGCCCTCCCCCGCCTCCTAGGAGGACCGTTTGATCCTCAGGTATCTGCTCAGTCCCTACCCTCGAGTTTTGGACTTGGCCCTGCGCCAAGAGTGATATCACCAGGTCAAGCCCTGGCATATAGGATCAGCTCCCAACTAATCTACTACTTTGTCCTGGATGCAACAGGAGTAGAGCCCTTCGTCTCAGGCCCAGGAGCACAGCTTCCTTCCAGGCTTGAGAGAGACAGAGACGAGAGAAGTTAGCGATGTGGTTCTGGCTCTGCAGTTAGACTTGGGTCACCCCTGCTCTGACACTGGGCAGTGATGTGAGCCTGGCAAGTGACTTTGATCATTCCATGCCTCAGAGGTTACTGTGAGAATCAAGCATGATAGTCCATGTTAAGCACATAACCGAGTACTTTAGCAGTGCAGAGTAGACCATAAAGTTTAGCTGCCATTAATAATTGTCGTTATTTGAGTTGGAGGTAGAGAGCTTGAAAACTGGGTGAGATTTGACATCATCCTTTCCATGGAATAATCTCCCTTGAAGGATAGGAAGGACCGACATGCCTGGGTGCATGTGTGCCTGCTAAGTTGCTTCGGTCATGCTCAACTCTGTGGGACACTATGGACTGTAGCCTGTCAGGCTCCTCTGTCCACGGGATTCTCCAGGCAAGAATACTGGAGTGGGTTGCCATGCCCTCCTCCAGGGGATCTTCCCAACCTAGAGATCAAACCTGCATCTGTTATATCTCCTGCATTGGCAGGCAGGTTCTTTACTGCTAGTGTCATCTGGGAAGCCCCAATACCTGGATAATTCCCCTTTATCTGCAGCATCAGGGTTTCCACCTGGGATTGGTGGGTAAGGATCAGATAAGCCAGGTTTCTTATCCACAGTTTTATCTGATGCTTCCTCTAGTACTTTAAATGTAGCGGGTCACAATACTTATTTTATTGCTGGAGAAGAGATTAAGTACCAACCAGAGTCAGCTCAGGTCATGAGGTCCATTTGTGTCTATTTCAACTGTGTCATGGCTTAGGGGATTCTCTCTGTACCCCCAGGGCTCTCTCTTCAGGCTTCCAGGGTTACTTACCTACCTAGATTCAATATCTATCTCCCTGGACGGGTGAAATGCTTCTCAATGTCTCCCCTCCCTCCTTGCCGCCAGACTGAGAGTTCCCCAGGGGTCACAAATTTCCCTTAGGAGAGTTCAGCCCAGTGACTTAGTGAAGGTAGCTTACTTCTAAGAAGGTAGCTTACTTCTAAGAGTAACCCTTAACATGAGATCTACCCTCTTTACTGTGGTGCTTTTGAACTGTGGTGTTGGAGAAGACTCTTGAGAGTCCCTTGGACTGCAAGGAGATCAAATCCGTCAATCTTAAAGGGAATCGGTCTTGAATATTCATTGGAAGGACTGATGCTGAAGTTGAAGCTCCAATACTTCGGCCACCTGATGGGAAGAGCCAACTCACTGGAAAAGATCCTGATGCTGGGAAAGACTGAAGGTAGGAGGAGAAGGGGACAACAGAGGATGAGATGGTTGGATGGTATTACAACAGACATAAGTTTGAGTAAGCTCCGGGAGTTGGTAATGGACAGGGAAGCCTAGTGTGCTGCAGTCCATGGGGTCACAAAGAGTCGGATATGACTGAGTGACTGAACTGAACTGAACTGATCCTCTTTACAAATTTAAAGTCCTGGAGGAAGTGTTCTTGACACAAAAACTGATGGTGGTGGTGGTGGTTTAATCACTAAGTTGTGTCTGACTCTTGGGACCCCAAGGACTGTAACCTGCTAGGCTCCTCTGTCCATGGGATTCTCCAGGCAAGAATACTAGAATGAGTTGCCATTTCCTTCTCCAGGGGATCTTCCAGACCCAAGAATCAAACCCAGGTCTCCTGCATTGCAGGCAGATTCTTTACTGACTTAGCTATGAGGGAAGATTAGTTCGAAATAAAGTGATGGATATGTTTATTACCTTGATTGTGATGATGGTTTCGCTGTGTATGTGCATATGTCCAAACTCATCAAATTATATAAAGTCAATATGTTCAGTTTTTATGTATCATTATTACACCTCAAACTTTTTTTGAGTTAGTAGCCTTTCTAGTTCCAGGTGTCCAAGTGCCCACACTGGGACCAGGATTCACTCCTTCTGTATGGGCTTCCACACCAGGACCTGGTCAGCACCCATCAGACATTAAAGAATCTGCCTGCAATGCGGGGGATCTGGGTTTGATCTCTGGGTTGGAAAGATTCCATGAAGGAGGGCATGGCAACCCACTCCAGTATTCTTGCCTGGAGAACCTCATGGACAGGGGATCCCGGCAGGGTACAATCCATGGGGTTGCAAAGAGCTGGACACGACTGAGCAACTAAGCAGAACGCAGCACTTTGCAGCCTTCACTAATTTTACCAGCAGAGGGCACACAGCAGACATGCGATCTCTATTGAATTATCAGTCTTGAGTCCAGAGTGGTCCTCATAATGCTGAGCTGTTAATGCTCCAAATTAGTTCTTCACTTTCCCCTCATGGTTAAGAGGCTCTTGTCTTCTATTTCAGACAGACAGCCCAAGGACATTTACTATGTCTGGAACAGTTTCATTTAGCCTAGGAAAGGATCCATCTCACCAGGCTGGATTCTGTGGTGACCTAGATCACTAATTTTGAAGGCATGGCTCAGGAAAGGTAGTTGTAGACTTTAGGATTTATCAGGATGCCTGCAGGGGTGGAGGGGGAGAGAGACACAGAGACCTGGAGGCACATCAGAATCAACTATGCATATTTTAAAAAAAATTCCTGGGTGTGGCCCCCAGATCTAATACATCAGAATGTCTAGGCTGGTGCCCCAGGAATCCATACTGTAACATGTTGCCAAGGGATTTCATGCAGTCAGCTCTGAACCAGCACTGGGGACGTACTAATCCAGGGCAATCTCTGGTGTTCCCATCTCAGTCCTGCTACTGTAGCAACAGCCCATAGGGCCATGAGCAGTCATGGAGTCAGAAGTAGGCGTAAAGCACTGGGGCCTGGACCAGCCCTTCCTGAGGGAGCAAGGCCCCTCCCACTGAGGGAATGTGGAGGGTGGTCTGTCCCCTCTAAGGGATTTTTAATATTTATTTATTTGACTACGCTGAGTCAGTTACTGCACACGGGATCTTCAATCTTTGTTGCAGCACGCAGGATCTGTTAGTTGTGGAGTTCAAACCCTTAGTTGTGGCATGTGGGCTCAAATCCCCTGACCAGGGATTGAACCTGGGCCCCCTGCATTGGGAGCGTGGAGTCTTAGCCACTGGACCAGCAGGAACGTCCCTATACCGTCAGATGTGATCAGAGAATAACCACTGACCTCTCTCTGCACTTGCCACTCACAGTGACAGGAGAAGCTGCCCCTTGCTTCCCAGGGAGCTCTCAGCTCGTCTCCAAGCCCTCCATCCCCACTCTGCACTCGGGCAGGGTGGGCTGCAGGCAGCTACACTTAGGGCCCGGATCTCTTCCCCAGCACGGCTCCAGATGGCGGTGCTTAGAGCAGCTTCTGTCTCTGACTGAAAGGTCTTCCTGACAGTTCTCAGTCACATTGAGCTCAGCCAGAGCCCGTCTTCAGGCTGAGTCGGGAGCTGAGCACATGCTCAGATATTGGTAGGGGAGTTGTCCTGGGGGTCCCAGTGGCAAGATTCTGCAGACCCAAAGGCTGAACTGCAGAGTCCGGCCATCTGTGTGGTTCCCAGCTACTGTCCAAGCCAAGGGCATCTCAGGGACTCCTTTGGCCCAGAGCTGATACTTCTGTCCGGCACTCGGGTTTCCTGGAGGATAAGATCAGGGGTGTCTCATTCAGGGAGGGAAGTCCTTCTCTGGCCTCCTGGATACTGAATGGCCTCCTGTTCAAGCCTCCCTGGGTTGGGGTACTGACTGGAGTGAACCTGCCATCCCCACAAGGGGAGAAATCCTAGAGCTTGGAAGGGACTTGAAAGATGGTGTAATATCATAGAAAGAGGCTAGACAAGAAGTAAGACATTACTACCTTGGACAGGTCAGCACCCATATTCTGATCTGTAAAATGGAGGGTATTACCCCTATCTCATAGGGTTGAAGGGACATTAAATGAGCTAGTGAAAGAATATAAAGTGTTTCAGCACAGCGCCTGACATCCAGTCAGTATTGAAATGTTGGCAGTGACTTCTCCGGGTCCTGTCTCTGTAGCACAGGTGAAGACTCAAGGGTACAGGCCTGGAGAATGAAGGGGAACTGTAGAGGGGAGATTCTGGCTTTCATGAACTGTTTCAGAGCCTCACTGGGGCTGAATGAGAAGCCTGCATCCCTTGAAGCCACCTGCTCCTTATCACCCTCACAGCAACAAGGGTGTCACCGTTCTCTGGATTCCTGTGTCCCCTTTCCTCTGGGTGCATCCTGGTAACAGCCCATTCACACGTCCTCTTGCTCAATCTGTGGGAGAGTTGGGGACCACCAGGCCGGCCTGCTGCTGCCAGCAGAAAGTTCTGGGGCTGGAAGACTTGGTGGAGCCTGGGGCTTCTCAGGATTCCTGGGGCCACTGTGGGGAGCCCCTGGACTTCTTGGCTGTCCCCAGGTCTCCAAGCCAGAGCAACGTCATCCTGTGTGAAGGGCCGGGATGGGGCAGGTGAGCTGCAGAGGATACAGGCAGGTAGGAGCGGAGGGGGCCTGCTTTTGGCAGCGAAACTCCCAGAGCCTTGGAGCGACCAGAAGGTAAATGTCTGAGGGCAGTTTTCAGTGTCTGACTTTTAAGTTCAGGCTCAACCAGTGTGAAAGTGGCAGCCACACCCTCCTCCTTTCTGTTCCTCAAATGCACAAAGTAACTCAGATAGTAAAGAATCTGCCTGCAATGCAGGAGACCCAGGTTTGATCCCTGGGTTGGGAAGATCCCCCTGGAGAAGGGAATGGCTACGCACTTCACTATTCTTGCCTGGAGAATCCCATGGAATGAGTAGCCTGGCAGGCTACAGTCCATGGAGTTGCAAAGTCAGAAACAACTGAGCGACTAACACTTTCACTTTCACTAACTCCTGCCTCAGGGTCTTGGCATTAGCTGTTTCCTCTGCTTGAGGTTCTCTTCACTCATGGCTGGTTACTTTCTTTCATTTAGGTTTCATCTCAGATGTCTTCTCTTCAAAGATGCTTCTTGTAAGCACTCCAATATGTTGCCCTCCCCCAACTCCCACACTTTCTGTCCATTTACCCGGTTTTATTGCCCTTAGAGTCCTTATCACTCTGTCAAATGATCTCATTTATATATCTCATTTCTTGTTTAGTGTCTGTCACCTTTATGAAAGTAGGATTTTATTTCGTTCACCTATCTATCCCCAGGGCTGAGAACAGAAGCACATAGTAGGTACTCAGTAAACATGTGTTGAGTGCTGGAAAGGTGCTGGATCTAAGAGAGGCAATCCTGATGGTGAGAGAGGTTTTGGAATATTGTCATCTTCACTTTGTTAAAGCAGAAAGGGTAGTGATCAAGGTGGGCCAGGACTCAGACCAAAATGCACCCATTAGGGGTGAATGGATAAGTGTCCTCGCAGTCACTGAGAGGTGGCCTGACCCTGCAGCCAGGTCACAAGAGCCAAAAGACATCACAACAGCCGTCCGTATCCTGGACGAGGAATTGGCGTCTGAAGTCTGAGACAAGGTCCTGGGGTGTTCCACTGGGGAGAAGCACAGTGACGAGGGTTCAGCAAGCAGCTCACCCATAGACAACAGGACCCCAGCTCCTCAGGTGAGATTCACAGGCAGAACGTTAGGTGGCAACAACTGGACAGAAAACACGGCCTTAACCAAGATTACTAGGGAGACTCCAAAAACCAGAATCCAGGCAGAAACCAAGTCATGAGAACCAGAGTGGGAGCTGGGCTGAGCCTGAGGTCAAGTGGGAATTGGGCTAGCTGGGGAATTAGCCAGTGAAAGAGGCTGTTTGGTTGGGAAACACGTCTGTGGCCCTTTGCTGTCGGGGCAGGGGGCAGAGCTGCATTTGCCTACCAAAGACAGTGCTCAGCACCTGTCTGTCTTCAACCCTCTCCCCTCCTCTTGGGCTTCCAACAAGAGAGCTGCTTTCAACAGCACCCCTAAGCCAAAAAATCTCCCTGGGGCTGTTGTGGATATGCCTTCAGAGTGACTTTTAGTTATTTTAGCCATTGGACGAGGAGCTATCATATCCACAGGACCTGACGTACAAGAAATACCTATAGGACTTCTGCCGGAGAGAGACCAAAAGTTCCCATTGGCTCAAAAAGCAATAAACTGCCCGGCCTGGGGCATGCGCCTCTCCAACCTTGGCTCCCCATGAGGGCTGCTCAGCTGTCAGTAGGCCAGACTCCTAGTTGCCCTCCTGCTCAAGCCACAGGCTCATTCCTGCCTCCCTACCTCTGCCCACTCCCCTCTTCTTTACCAATCCAAACATTACACTTTCTTCAACAACCAAAGTAAGTTCAGTGATTTTTTTTGGTGACCCTTCCATGATGTTGAATACATAATGCTCTCAATTTCCATAGCACAGTCTTACACCTGGTAATACTCTGGACTAATTTTTGTTCCCAGGTAGTTTCAGCATGTACCTTGTTCTCCCAACTAGATCAGAGGGTCCTTGAATGTAGAGGATGGATCCTCCTGCTGTATTTCTTCTAGAGCACCCAGCAAAGAGCTGGGGGCATCATAGATTGATGTTAATGTGAACCCTGCCCTCTTCAAGAAAGTGCAGGGGGAAAGAAATACTTTTGGTACCCAGGGCTGCTCGGTGAAAGATGGGGAACAGGAGCTAAGGGCGTGGGAAAGAACTGGGCCTGTTGGGTAACTTACACTTTGTATTTTTAAATTTGGGGAAATAAAAGAAGAGCAGCCTAATTTCAACATCCAGGGGACGTAGGAACTAATGATGAGTCAACGTCTCCTTTTAGAACTTCTATCCCTCCCCTTGCATTGGTTTTCAAGAACCACATACCTGGCCTGTATTCCACCCTCTCTGGGTGCTTCTGCCCACTGATGACACCATATGAGAGAATGAATTAGTCCTGAAGAAGTGACTCAAAGTATGAGCATTTCAGTCGGCATAGAAGACTGATAGAACGGGTGCCTATCTAGTAGGGTGAGCTGCCTCTTCTGCTCATCACAGTCAGAAATGTCTTCTTGGAAGAAAGCAAGACATGAAGGCATGTGATAATCTATACAAATTTTATTTTAATATCAATTTGTGTGGAAACAAGCAGGTGTCAGTGTTACGCAGGCACGGAAAAAAGGGAAAGAAAAAAACCCTCTAGTGATGATTGCTCTTGTATTTACACCATTTGGCTTCAACAGGGACAGGAAGTTTTACTGTTAGCTTCCTGTGGGAAATCCAGTTTCTGCACCTTTCCCTGCTGCCTCTCAGCATCACGATAGAGCAGGGATTTCTGAGCCTTCAATCGGCAAGCCAGGCACATGAAAATTGACTCCACATTCTGGCTCTCTTTGGGGTCCTTGGCCGACGTCTCAAATAAGAGCATGTTGTGGGCATCAGCAAATTTCAGGGCTAAGTTGGAGGGCACCTGGATCTGTTCCCTCAAGTCACACTTGTTGCCCACAAGCACTTTGGGGACTAGTGGGGGCACAGCATGCCCATTGCATTCTTGGATCCACATTTTGAGGTTGGTGAAGGATGTCATCTTCGTGACGTCGTAGACAAAGACCACAGCATGCACGTTGCGGTAGTAGTGCTCCACCATGCTCTTGCGGAAGCGTTCCTGACCTGCTGTGTCCCACACCTGAACCTGGAAGACACAAACGATCGATATTTGGAGTCAAAAAAGGAAACATAAAATAGAGAGAGGAGAAAACATGGTTCTGTGGCATTATAAAAATGAGGTGACAAGCCCTGACACAGGAAGTGGTTCTTTGACACATTGGCAGAATGGTCTTTTTCAAAGTAGAGAGAGAAGTTTCTTCCAGCGTTTATTAAGTCTTTCTTGAGATTTTGAGTTGAAAATCTTAAGGTTTTTAGTTGAAAACCTGGAGTGTAAATTGGTCAACTTTCCTGGAGGGCAATTTGGCAATATTATCAAAAGCTTAAAAATGTACAAAATTCTTAGAGCCTAGAATCCCATCCAGAAATCTATACAAAAGAAATAGTAGATAATGTAAATAAGTAGTTGAGATATAACATACAGCATGATGCCCATAGTTACCACTGCTGTATGGTATATATGAAAGTTGTTAAGAGAATAAACCTGAAAATTCTCATCACAAGGAAAAACTTTCTCTTTTCTTACTTTCTCTTTTTCTTGTATCTGTATGAGATGATGGGTGTTCACTAAAGTTACTGCGGTAATCTTTTCACAACATATGTAACTAAAACTATTATGCTGTATACCTTAACCTTATACAGTGATGTACATCAAATTACATCTCAATAAAACTAGAGGGGGAAGCAAAAAGAGAGAGAGAGAGATGTGGTCAAAGTTCTGTACAAAGATCTTAATCAATTTTTAAAAAACAGGAAACAACCTAAATGTTCACTAGGAGATAAAGAGCTAAAATGCATGTGTGTATCTCTATAGGTGGGCTCTTCACCAGCTGAGCCACAAGGGAAGCCCATCTACACAATGGGCTATTATGCAGCCATTAAAATACTCTTTTCAAAGAATAAATCGTGTGGGAATTCCCTGGCAGTCCAGTGGTTAGGACTGTGCACTTTCACTGCCAAGCCCCCAGGTTTGATTCCTGGTCAAGGAACTAAGATCCCACAAGCTGCACAGCATGGCCAAAAAAGAAAGAATAAATGGTGTAAAAATGCTCACAAGATGCAAGCTTAAAAAGGAGGATACAAAATATTTTGTACACTATGGTCCTAATATTTAAAAAAAAAAATTAAACATAGACATATGCATAGGAAAGATCAGAAGTGTACAAAACTAGAATATTAATGGTTATTTATGAACAGTGGGATTTTAGGTGATATCTATTTCCTTTTTTGTATTTTCCAAATTTTCTACTGTAAGTATAGATCACTTTGGGGTTTTAAATTTTTTTGTATGACTTTTTAAAGAAAATAAAGTCAGTGTTAAAATCTCGCTTTGTGGCTCAATTTATTTTAAATTCACTTCTTTCTTAGGTAAAAGGTAAATTAGCTCATTGGAATTTTCTTCTGCATCTTAGCTTTTGGGATAAAGGCCAATTTAGCAACATACATAAAGATACAGTTCCCAGGGGATGCTCCGGAGTCTACACACATTCAGCCCAATCTAGTTTCCTTTATATATCCAAAGTCTTGGACAAGGGAAATCATGCTGAGAACAATTGTCCCAAGGCCTTGTACAATTCTAAGTTATGAAAGAGAATGTGGTTATAGTCACTAATTGACTACTACGGTTCTTAAAATGAAGTATAGCCTTTATTTGGAATTAGCAGTCAGTAAATATAATCTAGTAAATATAATTAAATCTTTTTGCTGGGTAAACATCTTACAGGGCACTAGAGTCATCATTCTGAGCATCAATTTTCATCATCCAGGCTTTCTTCATCTCCTTTATGGAGATGGGTGCCATGTTCCTTTGGCACGATCTTCAAGCCATCACCTTCTTCCATTCAGATTTCCATGTATTTTGGTCAGATTCTCCTCTCCTCACTTCTGGACTACAGCAAAGGCTTTTGGATTCTAGATGCCTTCACCCCAGTGGCTCTTGCATGCTGCTTTCAAATCAGCCTTCCTAAATCCCTGCTTGTATCAGCGTGTCATCCTCCTCTTCAGCGAATTCCAACAGCCCTCTACTGCATATGGCATCAAAATAGAAACGTTTCTGTCTGCCACAATTCGACCCCACCCAACCTAGTTTCCAGCACTCAGCTACACCTGGTTCATTCTGTCCTCTGTACCTCTGGCCCTACTAGTCCACCTTCCCCTATATCAGTGGTTACCCCCAAATTGCTCTATCCAAATCCCACCCATTCTTCCAGGCTCAGCTCATATTCCACCTTCTTCCTAAAACCTTCTCCAATTTTTCAGTTCTCTTTCCTTAGGAATGTTTATTATACTTTGAGTCTCTACCTCACCATTTAGAATATATTTATTTGTTCTCTGGGCTTCCCAGGTGGCTCAGTGATAAAGAATCCACCTCAGTGGTAAAGAATGCAGGAGACTTGGTTGGGTTCAGTCCCTGGGTCGGGAAGATCCCCTGGAGAAGGAAATGGCAACCCATTCCAGTAGTCTTGCCTGGAGGATTCCATGGACAGAGGAGCCTGGCAGGGTACAATCTATGGGGTCACAAAGAGTCGGACATGACTGAAGTGACTGAGCACACACGCATACTTGTTCAGTAGTCATTTCAGCAGTGTTCTTGGCACCCCTCCAGATAGACTGTGAGCAGTCTTTTTCTGCGTCAGGTCCCTCATCATCATGCTTGTCATTAATACTGTCGTCATGATCAAAAATCAGTATTGGCCTGAGTCACCAAAACTACAATCCATCTGACATCCTAGGTATCTGCCAAGGATTTCAGAGACAACATTCGACTTTGGTTACCCAGAAAAACGTAAGTCCTCAAAGGCTGATTTGCTTCAGCAAGCAGAGACAGAAGGGATTCTCATTTCTTCCACCTCTCTGGTGCTCTGAGCAGGAAGAAAGAGGCCAAGAGAGGAATGGAGGTCAGTGGAAAGAGGGCAAGTATCACCAGAGAATATCCTTACCACTTGGCTCCAGGTTTCCCCACCCCTACCCTCCGGTAGTGGTAACTCTTGCCTCTGAATAAGGCTGATTCCCTACCAGCCCTCAGGCGTGTGGCAGATGCTTTAACACCATGAGCTCAGGACTCTAAAAATACCTGCCACTAGCAGGAACACGGGTGGGAGTGTGTGAGGTGTTTGGGGCTGAGTAGGTTGGCTGTTTGGCTTTTCTAAGGTAGGGCTTCAGAATGATGCACGCCACCCAAGCCTGTGGAGACTTGAACCTTTGATTTGGGGGGCTTGAAATTCCAACCCCTCTCTGTGGTGAGAGGGGAGCCAGGAAGCAGTCTCCTCACAGCAGAAAATCACAAGAACCAGTGCTGTGGCTTCACGAGCCATCACAAAGGGAGAGCGCGACAGTCAAGCTCTCTGGAACAGGAATGACCTCATTTTGTTTCAGGGTTTGGTGTCCCAGTCCTTCTCGGCACCCTCATAAACCCCCGGCCTCTGTTGGACAGTGAAAGCAGCTCCTCCCCCTTTGGCAGCTGGCGTTCCCTCACCCAGTCCCCCCCTCCTGCCATGGGCACAGCATCCACACGGTGGCCAGCATTGGCACCTGCCCCTAAACCACACACATGCCCCCAGGCCCCTTTTTTTCTCTCCAAGGACCAGTGGGGTTTAGTGGAGTCAAACCAACGAGGGTGCAAATCCAAGCCCAATCACATCCTACTAGTTAGGTGTCCTCAGGGAAGTTACTTTATCTTCAGTGTCCTCCTCTGGAGACTAAGGATAAACACAGCAATCCTGTAGGGATGCTATGAGGATTAGCATCCTCATAAGTACAGGACAGAGTGCCCAATACAGTCCCCCTTCATCCCTGGCCCGAAACTGCCACCACCAAGTCTGGCCAGACAGCTCATTGAGCGGGTGCCCTTGGAAATGCAGCAGTGGATATGGAATTGGGAGACGCGGGTTCCAGCCCCTCCTCTCACTAACTAAGTCAATGACTAGGCAAAGGAAATAACATGCGAGAAAGATCTTTCACACAATACAAAGTGTTCTGCAAATATTAGTTGTTGCCATTGTCTCAGGGGCCCCATAAGCCCTGTCCTAGTAGCATTGCTCCTTTAATCCATTGGTTCTCATCTTGGAAAGCAAGATGAGACAGCTTGGCTTCTTCTTCTTCTTTTTTTTTTTTTTAGCTTGGCTTCTTGATGATGAGCTAGAGCCAAGGCAAAGGCAATCAGTGGGGAGGGGGAAGAGAGAGGAAGGCCAGCAACATGCCCTGGTGGCTGGGGTCGGGCCCAAAGTGATGGGGATACTGGAGGAGCATCGAGGGGCACAGGGGAGCTGCCAAAGGTACCTCTAGCCTTGTAAACCATTTTCCTGGGGCTCCGGCTGCCTGAGCAAATCCTTCATCCCCTGCATGTGCTCTTAGGTGACTCAGGTATTTCTTTTCCCTAGAGAAGATATCTGGTATCTTTCTACACATGAGGTATGAGGTATGAATATCCTTCTGTTGGAGGCCGGTGGGGGAGGGTAGAAATGGAGAAAGGGAGAAAATATATCTGTAATCTTTGGAGGATGCCCGAGGGGGTCACAGGGAAAGTTTAAGACAAGTCTTTCTTCAGCGAGCTGGACCATCCCATCTGCGTCTAAGATACACCCAGCTTCACATGCCAGGCTGACACAGAGAATAGCAAATGCGGACGGAGAGACAAAGAAACTCACACACAGCAAGAGAGGCAGCAATGGAGACAGAGAAACGACCAAACTGATGGCTAATTAACCATTAAGCTAACTGGCAGAAGATAGAAGCTCAGAAGCCCTAAGGAAGACATGATGTCATTCTGACTGCAGGCAGCTTCTGAGGGAACACTTAGTTCAGCCTCCATCCACTCGGTAATGTAACACACACGAGGGTGTTTTTCCAAGTGAGTTCGGGGGAAGAGAAATCCACAGTCTTGAGCGGCACCTGCCCTCAGCCACAGCTGACCACAGAATGCCTGGTCCAGAGGCTAGGGCAGAGGGTGTGCCTGGCGTGCAGGAGGAACCCAACTGCACAGGAGAAGATGCTTCCATGAAAATCTACAAAGAGGGGCTCAAAAATTAGAACTGAGCCTCCCTTCTACTACCTCCCCACCCCCAAACACCCAGTCCTATTTGGCATTTTCCAATGCTTTTAGACTGAGACAGGGACCATATGTGTTAGCTAAACCTGTAAGACGACAGACACTTAATGTTCATTCAAGGAAGTTCCACCCTTCCCTTGGGGGTTGGGGGAGGCCTCCATCCTTCCTAGGCTGATGTCAATAAGGCCTGTCAATTTTCCCCTATGATGTCTCACCGTATCCCTGTCCCAGGTAACTTTGTGTGTTGGATGGACCACGGGGCTGGCCCAGTGTGGGGATTTACGGACTTTTCCAAGATAGGCAGCACAGTGTGTGGAAAGAGCACCAACAAGGGAATTAGGAGACCTGAGTTGTAGGCCGGGCCCTGGGTGATCTTGGGTAAGTCACTTTCCCTCTCTCAGCCTGAGTTTCCTCTCTGTAAAACAAGGAAGTTGGATTAGAGATGCTCTGAGGTCTCATCCATCTCTGAACATTCTCTGATTCTTACACTCAAGGGGCAGAAAGGAAAACCTAGGTACTCAGCACAATGCCTGCAGTGCAGCTGAAGGGGGCGTTCTTGAAGGCTCATGGGTCCAGGGGCTGAAACCCTGGGCCCCCGGGACCCCATGAGGCTGGCTGCCTGGCATGCCACCTCCCCCTGCGCACAATCCCTCCCAGCCAGATATTGCCTGACTGGAGGAGAGAGCAGTGACAAAATGCGTGGGCTCTAAATTGAGGTTGAAAGCTGGCCCTATCACAGGGAAGGCAGGACAGTGAGATGGCGCAGTGCTGGGGCTCCAGGGTCAAAGACGGAAGCTCAGATCCATGTGCCTTGGGGCAAGTTATTTCATCTCTCTAACTTTGGTCTCCTTATCCATAAAACAGGAACAGTAATAATAGTCCTAACTTCATAGGGCTGCTGAGACGATCAAACAAGATGGTTCATGGAAAGTGTCTAGCCTGGGCTCTTTGTTTCTTCAATAAACAGAAGTTGCTGTTATTGTTATTATGATTATTGCTGACTCGCTGCAGGCTTTTCTTGATGTTCTTGTGAATCAGGAAATACTGGATTATAAATGTCGTGAGGGGGTGGCAGACACATAGATTGCCGACACCAAATGGGGCTTCAAGGCCCTACAGATGGCACTGGCATTTTGTCTGGTGTTGTAGTTGGTTTGTTTGGTTTTTGCCCATGCCTTCTGCCATGCAGGATCTTAGTTTCCCCACCAGGGACTGAACCTGGGCCCCCCGCATTGCGAGTGCTGAGTCTTAACCACTGGACCACCGGGGAAGTCCCAGCACTGCCATTTTAGAGCCTGACAGCCTTCTCCTGCTGAACCTGTGGTCTAGGGCTGCCTCAGTTTGGGGACTTTTCTCTCTCTCCCCAAAAGAGAAGCCTTTGACAGTCACCTCCTAGCATGGGTTGGGCACCCGTTCCTTGAGACACCTCAGGCCAGCCAGAGTCTGGGGCAAAACTGTCTCCCCTGGAGTGTCTCTGCTAGCTGCTGTGCTTTGCCATCTCCCCAAAGACACTCCGGTCTCACCTGGCAGCTTGGGCCCTGGGCTTGCAGCAGCGTTGCTGGAGGCAGGGTCCGCATCCCGCCTCCCACACCCCACCCTGAGCCCCTTCAGAGTCTGTTCTCACAGGGCTTGTCCGTGAGCAGTGTCACAAGGTTTCATCCTCTTGAAAATATCATCTTCCCAAAAAAGCCTGTATTAAGCACTTATCTGCATGTGGTGCTGTGCTGGGCTCCATCTCTTGTGAGTCACACTGTCACAGGCTCTGCCCTCTGGGAAAAGGTCCGGAATCTTTGGCAGACACTGTAAAATCCAGTTTGACTAAGTACTGGATGTTAGAAGGGAAGGAATCTTTGCAAAATTTCCCCCAAGGCCATTGGGCAGTGACCCTCTTCCACTCGTTTTCACCTTCCACTTTCTGGCTTCCTCCTCTCCTCTCCCCGTCTTCTCCTTTCCTAGACTCCCAAACACTTCCTTTTTCCTTCATCTAAATTTCAAGTGGACTTCTTTACGCCTCTCTTAAATGTAAACGAGTCTTTGGCTCAATGTGACACAATGTTAAACAAGCGATAGCATTAGATTTGAAAGGTTTTGAGGGTTTAAGAACACACCCATAAGTGTATTTCTATTTTAGATTTTAAGAGGCATGTTTTAGAAATTCCAGAGTCTTAGAACCTTACATTAAAGAAGTCCTGGCCAAACAGACATTGACATAAGAGCCCTAGGGAAGGATGGAGACAGATACCTACTTTGACTTTTAAAAGGAAATGTAGCAATCCCCACCCCCCATCCCCCCTCCTGCTGCCTGGCAAAATGAGAGGGGCAAAAAAGATCACTATTTCAAAACAGTACCCTATTTTCCTGATCCTGGGGTCAGTTGTTCTCAAGAGCACTCCCTTATCAGTACTGAGCTGCCTATCTTCCTGACATCAAGTGCCTTGGACCAGTCTCTGAAGCCATTTTAAAACCTGTTCATTTTAATAACGAAGGAGTCAGGAATCTTGTACAGTTTAGAGCATTTCATCACCCTCCCCAGTTACTCAGCCCTTCTCTCTACATCACTGAGAAGAGAGGTCCTGTGGTCATTTGGGCTGTTTGCCCAATGGAAAGGGAGGGTTAACTTCACCTGACAGTGTCTGACCATAGGCTTGAGAAAAGGCCAGCTGTGGCTCTAGAGGAGTTGGTCTTTAGTGCCCAGTGCCTTTCGAGGTGTCTTTTCTGCCCATAACCCTGCCCCTTTGCTCCCCTGACACATGAAGCTGCCCTTGCCATGTCCTCCCTCCCTCCATCTTCTGCACATTGAAATATTCCTGTCCTCTTGAGTTTCTACCTTTTCTGACCTGAAAGTGAGCACAAATGGTCAGACAAGAATATCTGTACTTATTGACAAACTAATGAGAGGGGGGCACCAAGACACTTTCCTGAGCCCTCACATAAGGCGCTCTGCATCTTTACAAAGGCCCACTGAAGACAATACCAACAGAATGAGTAACAGGCATTAGGTACCCCAGACAAATAAAGAAGCTATCGTTTGAGGGGTGCTCTTCCAAAAGAACTAGTTTTATCTATTATGAAGTGCCGGCAGGTAACCCTGTGTCAATTTCTTTCAAAGGGCTCATGGCTTTGTGCCAGAACAACTGCACACCCCTCCTATTCCAAACCAGCCCTAATCTCAACTATAAATTTTAATTTAAAATACAGTACTTTTCATTCTTTATGGATTTCCGTCCCCCCCACCCCCCACCGCGGCCTGCCCACTGCCAAGGCCTGAGGGCTTAGCCAAAGCAGGTTTGTGCAACCTATTGGCACTCAGGAGGTAGAAGAGACCTCAAGATATGTGAAGTGCTTTGGGATCCATTCCACAGACCAGGACGGAGATCCCTCATACCTCCCTCTGCCCACAGGTGCCGCTGCTCCCGGCTCAGGATCCAGGATGGGTTTGAACCGGCTTTTCCTGGCAGGAGCTGTCAGGCAAGGGCAAAGGGCATGAATGCAACCACTCCCTCCAGCCCTCAAAAAAAAAGGGGGGGAGGGTGAAGTGGGAACTGGGCCACTGAGAGAGGCGAAAGGGGATGAGGACTTGCGGAGGGTCTTAGGCTCAGCAAGCGGCGACACAACCACACGCTGGACATTTACAACCACGAGAGCGATACCTCTGGCAATACCCCCTCCCAGATCCCTCCCTTTCTGGACCTGACCGTCTGAATCACCTTGATCTTCTCGCCCTCGATTTCCACCGTCTTCTCCCTGAAGTCAACGCCGATGGTGGCTTCAGTCTTGTCCGGGAAGGTACCCCCACAGAAGCGGAAGGTCAGGCAGGTCTTGCCCACGTTGGAGTCCCCGATCACGATGATTTTGAAGATGCGAATCTGCACGTACTGGTCCAGCGACGAGTCCAGCTCCAGGGAGGCCAGGCCAGCGGCCGAGGCGGGCTGCAGGTTCCCATGGCCCAGGATGGGCTGCGCCATCTCCCCCGGACCAGCCCGGGGCCCCAACCCCCCTCGAGGGCTCCACACAAAGAAAACGGCCACGTTAGTGCGCTCAAGGCGAGCGAGCTTTGTGCGTGTGTATGTGTGTGCGTGCGTGTCTGTGAGTGTGTGCCCGCGCGTGTGTGCGTGCGCCGGCAACGTGTGTGCGCGCGCGCGCGCGTGAAGGGGGTGCCTCTCACCCCAGCCCCCCTCCTCCAGCGCACCCTCCTAGCAGCTCAGAGACAGCGACACAAAAGCCGGGGAGGGGAGGAGAGATGGAGGAGAGCCGGCAAGCCTTCTCCTTGCGCCTGTGTCCTCAGGCTTGCGATCCTAAGGCGCTCCCCAGGCCGCCTCTGCCAACACCGCGCCTTTGCATAAACCCTCCCCTGCCGGGACCCCAGGGACACACCGGAGGGAGGAAGCCTAAGGAGGAGAGGGTGGGTGGGGAGACCCGCACACACCAGCTCGGGATGGTCTTCCTTTTTCCTTGCCCCCATTTATTTTATAGCTTCCGGGCTCCCCACTCCCACTTTCTCATAGCGCTCGGGGTCAGCGGGCTGGGAGCACAGCTGGGGAGGACAAAGAGAGCTGCACCCTCGGGCGTCTCTAGAGCACTTTGGCCTCCGAGCGACACTACTCGGCGGGGGTGGGATGTGGGGCGAAGACACCTCTTTCACCTCTCCAGCGGCGGGCAGCTGCGCCCCGCCTCCGCGGCCCCCTCCCAAGTCTTAAGATAAAGGGATGCTCTGTCTTATTGAGAAAGCAGGTGCGCTCGCGCGCCCCAGGGAGCCGGGGAGGGCGCTGCCAAGACACGCCAGGAGTTGTGGGGGCCCGCGCAGCTGAGAGGGGGAAGGCAGGGGCACGGGTGTGCGTGTGTAGGGCGAGTTACTGTTTCTGTCACAGACTTGCCAGATGTAGGGGGGCGCGTGCCAGGCGCCAACCTCCCCTCATCACACCACGAGCACCCATCCTCTGAATGTTCAGGAGAGTGGCTCCCATTGGCTGCTGCAGTCGGTTGTGTTTGGCTGGCCAATGGGGAAGGCCCGCCGCGGCAGAGGGCCTGTATGTGGGGTAAGAGAAGGGGGAAGCTAGTGCTGGCAGCTTCAGCAAAAGGGGACTTTGTTTCCGGGGCTAAACGTGACAGGTCCAGGTGGAGGGATCCTGGGACATGGCGTAAACCTCACAGTGTCTTGCACTCCTGGGCTCTCCATAGAATCACAAAACCTTGCAGGATGGTGGAGTTTCAAAAGGAAGTGGAAACCCCTAGGAGCGTTCACCCCTCTGCAATTGAATGTAGAACAAAGTGGTTGGGTCTAATTTGCCAGAAGCCTAGATTATGCTTGGAAGATGATAAATGAACAGAACTTTCTTACGGTATTGGGGGCAGCTTCCCAAGGCTTAATAAGCATTACACATCTTGGTCAAGACCAATTCCCTCTGCCAAAAGTGATTTGCAGGTTCAGAATTTGTTTGAAATCAACTCTACTGAGGTACAACTTACATACAATAAAATGTGCCCGTTTACATTTCCTTTTAAGACTTTATCCCTCCTCCTGCATATGAAATATGCAGGTATTAATGACACATACCAAGAGCACCGACTTCCGAGTTATTTGCTAATGCCATCAAGGTCAGGGATCCCAGAAGCACACGTGAGTTGCCATCTTACTTGGGTGTGAGGTTGAGCGGCAGAAGAGACAAACAGGACTAAATCCATTCCCACCATAAGGAAAACAATTCAGAGTATCAGTGACAGATCTGTAAGCAAATTGCAATGTGACTGCTCAGCCACTTCCACGTTACTCAAAATGGCTGGGAAAATGGAGTCTTCTAGTTAGTAAACTTTTTAAGTTGAGTTAGCAGATATATTTATAGCTAACTCTTTTAGCACATATGTGGGTCACCCATTTCTAAAACCCTAGATTATACTATTCAATGTTAAAACCATTTCGAGAAGGATTTAATCTTCATTGACTAATCCAAGGTCATCATTATGAATACCTATTATCATTGTATAGTGTGAATAGCAATCCTCATTGTATTTTGTTTTTGATTGGTTGATGTCTAAATAGCTTGCCAGATAATTCTCCTCTGTATTTGAAGCTAATGCTCCTGGTGATCATTATCTACAGAAGAGTAGCTATTTTAAAAAAGAGAGAGAGAGAGAGATAACTATTAACTAAGTTTCCCAGGTGGTATAGTGGTAAAAGAATCCACCTGCCAATGCAGGAGATCTGGCATCCATCCCTGGGCATCCATACCCTGGAGAAAGAAATGGCAACCCATTCCAGTATTCTTGCCTGGAAAATCCCATGGACAGAAAAGCCTGGCAGGGTGCAGTCCATGGAGTTGCAAAAAGTCAGACACAACTGAGTACACATGCGCGCAAATACACACAAGTATATCCAGGAGGTAAGAGTGAAAGTAAGTTCTGCTCATTATACCCCTAATTAATGCTAACTTTCTGAGAGATACAAAAAATATTACATCCACATAAGATTATTTAGATGCATGCTTCCAGCAAAAACTTGTCACTGAGTCAGAGCTCTCATTATATTTGTAAGGTAGAAACATTGATTTCTGGGAATGTGGTATATCAAAATGGGCACATGCCCTAATAAAAAGTCTGTGAAGTGAGATTTTGAGGAACTTTCACTCGTATTTTTGGAGTTACTCAATATGTGTACATTGATTTCCCCCCCCCCCAAAAAAATGATAAAATATCATTTTTTTATTAAGAGGCCAAGAAAAGTACCTCATTGCACCTATTGCAAAAGTATTAATAACTAAGCTGTGCAATGCCTTTTAAAAGATAATTTTATATATTTTTGGCTGTGCTGGGTCTTCCTTGCTGCCTGGGCTTTTCTCTAGTTGTTGCGAGTGGGGGCTACTCCCTAGTTGTGCGCGGGCTTCTTATGGCTGTGGTTTCTCCTGTTGCAGAGCACTGCTCTAGGGCATGTGGGCTTCAGCAGTTGCAGCACAGGCTCAAAAGTCGTGCACACAACTTAGCTGCTCCCGGCCTGTGGGCTCTTCCTGGATCAGGGATCAAACCCCTGTCTTCTGCATTGACTGGCAGATTCTTTACCACTGAGCCCCCAGGGAAGCCCTGCACAATGTCCTTTTGTGTTAATGTTGCATCACTAAATGATTGTCTTTCAAATACACTCAATTGTTTTCATAGGTACCTGATTGTCAAGATTTTGAGTGTTTTCCAAAGTTTCTTTCACCACCAGATAGGATTAACATTGTATTTAATCAATCCTTGTTCATTACTAACTTTTAGAAATAGTAATAAATGTCAATGTCTGCAAGGCCTTTTTTTCCATTTATTTTTATTAGTTGGAGGCTAATTACTTTACAATATTGTAGTGGTTTTTGCCATACATTGACATGAATCAGCCATGGATTTACATGTGTTCCCCATCCTGAACCCCCTTCCCACCTCCCTCCCTATCTCATCCCTCTGGGTCATCCCAGTGCACCAGCCCCGAGCACTTGTCTCATGCAGCCAACCTGGACTGGCGATCTGTTTCACACTTGATAATATACATGTTTCCATGCTGTTCTCTCAGATCATCCCACCCTCGCCTTCTCCCATAGAGTCCAAAAGTCTGTTCTATACGTCTGTGTCTCTTTTTGTCTTGCATATAGGGTTATCGTTACCATCTTTCTAAATTCCATATATATGTGTTAGTATACTGTATTGGTGTTTATCTTTCTGGCTTACTTCATTCTGTATAATGGGCTCCAGTTTTATCCATCTCATTAGAACTGATTCAAATGTGTTCTTTTTAATGGCTGAGTAATATTCCATGGTGTATATGTACCACAGCTTTCTTATCCATTCGTCTGCTGATGGGCATCTAGGTTGCTTCCATGTCCTGGCTATTATAAACAGTGCTGTGATGAACATTGGGGTACATGTGTGCAAGGCCTTTAAATATGAAATAAATAGAAATTTTTTACCTTATTGGGGAATTGATATTTTCAATATTTATCCCCCTCAAACAGCCCTACTTTAAAAGTCAACTATTACCTGCACTTCTGGACATTAACCTATTCTTAATGAGATGGGGACCCTGAATCATTTTCTCCCAATAAATATTGTTTCCTGGATTAAACTTCCTAAAATGACGTTGTACTTTCATTCTCGATCCCTAATTCCACTAAAAATGATAATTTCATCACCTACAATATTAGGGCCAAACTTTTTTGCCTGTTTGAATCTGGCCCCACCACATTCACCTGTCCTTTTTACTTCCTAGAATGTACTCACGGATGAAAATGTGGTGGGTTTTGTTTGTTTTATTCTTCCAAGCATTTTAAATGGCACGGTGCTTCCTCTAAGATACTTTACAAATATTAGTTCATTTAATCTTCACCACAACCCTATGGGATTGGTAGATGAGGAAAGTGAGGCATAAGTGACTTGCCCCAAGTGGCAGAGCCAGATTCAAACCTGGAGCAGACTGGATCCAAATTTAATGATGCTTCACCACTGAAAATATTACTTTTGGTCCAAAGTATTCACCATCTGAAACATCATTCTGTCTCCTCCACTGTCTATGTTAATTTTACTATTCATTCTTCAAGACAGAGCTCAAGTAACACTTTTTACATGAAGTCCTTCCTTAGCTATTCCATCCTGTACTATTTTCTCTTGCTCTGGCACTACATCAGATGTTATTATTTAAATGACCAATATATCTCATCTCCCAACTAGACAGTGACCACTTCCTATACTTTTCATATCCCCCAGAGTTCCTTTCATGGCACAGTCCAAGTGGCAAATGCTCAATAAATACTTGTTAAATGAACATGTAACTCAAGGGGTGGGGAGGGAGGCTCAAGAGGGCGGGGAGATATATATATATATCTGATTTAAGTTGTGGTACAGCAGAAACTAACAACACTGTAAAGCAATTATATTCCAATGTTATATTCATATAATAAATTTACTTTATTGTATGTATTATATTTCATTGTTATTTATAATATTT